AAGTTCTTTTAATTTGTGAGCTGAAAAGATCGAGGACTAAGCAAAATGGCGGCGTGTGCACTCGAGCTTATCCCAGCACATTCAACGGCCACATGTCGATCTGTGCATTGTGAATGGGGATGAGCGTTCTACGTATGTTACAGTTCCGTGCCCGTGACCCCTGCACTCAAAACTGTGTGTTGTGGTCAACTTCTTTTATGAGACAAATCCAAGTAAACGTTTCCAATTGGGGAAAAAAAATCAAATGTATGGAATTCGAGGAGTAAGTTGCTCTTCTCGTGGTTCAGAGATTATTTGTCATGGTACATAGTAGGTTTACATTGGAATATCTTACAATTAAATGTGGAGTCCTACAAGGATCAATATTAAGTCCTCTTCTTTTCTTATCGTATATTATTGATATGAATGCTTCATCCCTTTTATTGTTTATACATTTTTTTTTACTGTGATAGGAAATTCGGATGCCCTTATTCGTATACTTAATTTTGAATTATCAAAAGTATCTAACTTGTTTTAAAAGTAATAAACTATCTCTTTATATAAATCAAACGAACTTCATACCCCAGACTTTCCTTAAGATATTGTAATTTATAATTTATTCTAAAATTAGGCATTTTTGATGAAAGTCTCAGCTGGAATAAACACATGCCACATACAATTACAATGTATATCTAGGAATATTGGTATACTTTTATAAGACAAAAATTAGCTTCCTAAAAAGACCCTTTTGATGCTATATAACTCGTTCATCATGTCATGTTGTATCTTGGTGTGGGCTTCAAGTGCAAAGACAAAAATTAACCCTATTTATTTATTTATTGCAAAAGGAAGATCTTCGCATATTGCCGGCACCCATTCTTTAGCTCATACAAACCAATTATATTATGAATTTACGACATTGACTATCTTTGGTATAAACGCACAACAGAGACTAATCTTTATGTTTAAATTCATGAATAACCTACTTCCTTTTCATTTAAGAATTTATTTGTATTGAATAACACTATTCATTTTTCCCCTGCCCTCGGAATCATTAAACTTCTTTTGATAAATCCTAAATAATGGATCTTGCATAAATGAATAAGACATCATGGTCCAAATCTATGGTATGCATTTCCCGACTCAATAAAATCCTGCATGTAAAACCCTAAATCCATTTATAATTAAATACGAAGAAAGCATTTTTGTCACAGTACATTGTTTGATCTATTCCCAGTGCTGATTGAAAATTCAATATTATTTTCAGATTTTCATTTTCATCATCATCATCTTCACCATCATCAGTTTTTTGTTATTCTTTTAATCACGACCCAACCCTGGGCTATCACGCTGCCAAGCAAAGACTCATTTTGATAGCCCTTCTTCTTCTGCAGATCTATTAATGAATAGTTCTTGATAATGTGTTATCAGTTACATTTTGTGTTAATGTCAACATTTTTATTATTATATTGTGAAAAAATCCATGAAATTTGTAATGTTTGTTTTGCAGAAGAAAATAAATTCAATTCAATTCAAATGGTAATTTGACGATGCAAGTAACGAGAAATGGTTGAACCCTGGACCTCTCGTACATAGACTCAAGAGCCTAAACCAATATACCAGTGCTCCCACTGTGGCACAAGTATGGGTACTTTAAAAGATTAACCCCCCCCCCCCCCATTCCTCCCTCCGCCCTTCTCCCTCCTGCCAATTCCCCCCTCTCTCTCTCTCTCTCTCTCTTTCATTTTCCTTCTTTTTTCCTATCCCAGATAGCAAAGTATCTGGGGCCCATATGGATTTTATCTGGGTTGTCTGGGCCCCATATTGCCCAGATGAATCCCATATGGGAAGTAAATGCGAACTGGTATATGGGGCCCAGATAAATGGGGCCCATCTGGTTTATATCCGTGGCCCATATGTACCAGATATAACCCATATGGGCTGCAGATGAGCACTTCTAGATGGGGCCCATATGGTGAAAGATATCTGGGGTCCATCTGGTTTATATCTGGGCCCATATGTACCACATATAACCCATATGGGCTGCAGATGGGCATTTCTAGATGGGGCCCATATAGTGAAAGATATATGGGGCCCATCTGGTTTATTTCTCGGCCCATATGTACCACATCTAACCCATATGGGCTGCAGATGGGCATTTCAAGATGGGGCCCTGATGGTTGAAGATATCTGGGGCCCATCTGGTTTATATCTGGGCCCATATGTACCACATCTAACCCATATGGGCTGCAGATGGGCATTTCAAGATGGGGCTCAGATGGTGAAATATATATGGGGCCTATCTGGTTTATATCTGGGCCCATATGTACCACATCTAACCCATATGGGCTGCAGATGGACATTTCAAGATGGGGCTCAGATGGTGAAAAATATATGGGACCCATCTGGTTTATATCTGGGCCCATATGCACCACATCTAACCCATATGGGCTGCAGATGGGCATTTCAAGATGGGGCTCAGATGGTGAAATATATATGGGGCCTATCTGGTTTATATCTG